TGTGTGTGTGTGTGTGTGTGTGTGTGTGTGTGTGTGTGTGTGTGTGTGTGTGTGTGTGTGTGTAGCTACTTTTCAGCTTTTTTGCACAAAATCACACCAACTATCAAAGGGTAAAATATCCTATAAATTTATGAGTTAATTATCTTAAGAGCCTCAGAATTTTTGATCTGTTTTTATCCTTTTAAGGTTACACAGTTATAAGATTTATCAAATAATTTCAAGACCCCTGTGGTGTTTCATGGCCTCATCCCCAGCTTTACAGGAACCACGCAGTGTGTCAGATTCCTGGCGTGTGTGTGTGTGTGTGTGTGTGTGTGTGTGTGTGTGTGTGTGTGTGTGTGTGTGTGTTAGAGACAAATATGTCCAGAGCTGCAGAGGAATGCCTTGTGGTGGGGTGTCCTTACTGGAACGACCGAGGTGGGGTCATTTTCCTGATGTCTGGGCATGAAGCCTTTCCCTTCTGTTTCGTAAGCCCGGCTCTCTTTGCAGCTCTTGTTGAACCTTCAGTGCACTTTCTCCATCCTTCCTTCTAAGAAATAAGCTGAAGGAAAAGGAGCAGKCTTGCATGTAACTGCACATCCACATGAAGTCAGAGGACTGAGTCCTCGAAAAACCTCCAGTTTATCCCTTCTTTCAGTTTCTGGTTCTGGATAAATACCTCCATTGAGAAAACAATGATTTATTTTCATATTTGGCTTTTGTAGCCTCAAATCCTACGATTGTTTTCTTTTTCTTTAGTAAACCTGAGTAACAAGATGTCTTCTAAAAACAAACTTTTAGAAATCACCACTGAATCTGCACCAAAGTTTTCTCCTGGAGTTGGTTAACATAAAAATGAGTTCTTTCTGTCAGTGAAATGTGCCAAACTCAGGCTGTAACGTATTTCACCCTGTGCTGAATAGTTGGACCGTTGTTTCCTTTTCATTAAGTCTTCTTGGCAATCCAACAAAAGGCTCTCTGGTTTCTTCCAGGCTTCAACTTCACTTCTACCGTTCATATTATATTACCTTTCCTTACATTTTTAATTATTTTACAAGCAATTTGCTTTCCCCTTCTTTAAAAGAAATAAAAAAAGTCATTTTGTTATTTTATTTCTGAGTTTAAGGAAGTTGCTCAAGCCTAAAAAAGGTCAAATTTTATTTTATTTTATTTTTTCCATAATCAGGGTGCAGCTATACATGGTTTACTGCTACAGGTACTGTGTTATATCTGAGGCCAGTGTGGTCAGTCCTGTTGCAGTTAACATATCATGAAGCCACACTGGTGCACATGAGTTGAATATGCTTCCCCAACTCTCCACTCAGGACCTTTTTATTCATGCTCAAAACTCTTATCATGTTCTATCATGGATAATGGGTGGACCACTGCCTTCTAAAGACCTTGCCAAGATCCAGCACGGACCACCCACCTTCTGGTCTTTTCTTTTTTCATTAAAAGGGTTTTGTTAAAGTGCCCTTTGAGACCAGCGTCCTTATCGCTCAACAACGCAGAGATACAATATTTTATGGCCTCGCTGTGCATCACTCAGTATTTTTATTTACGTTTCTGTCCATGGTTGGCTGAATTTAGCCTAAAATAACCTCCCTTAAGCTCTCCAAGCAGAAACATGCCTATTTCATTTGGAAAGCACTTGTTTGTGTCATAACTCTTAAGGATTACGTTAGCATCACTTTTGGCAGTTATGAAAACTTTGTTTCAGATTGAGCTACAGTAATTTKCCTGGATGTTCAAAAGTGTCTGAGGTAACCTCTTCTTCTTTTCAGTCTGAGTCATAAACTTTAACTTTCCTTTTGACTGTTAGTGCGTTAGTCACAGCCGACCTTTCTTTCACACTTGTTCCAGCTTGCACTCAGGGTTCAAGCTTTTAACGCCAAACAATGATGTCACGGGGTCTCGTCCAGGATCGGCACAAACGTTCAAATGTTAGCTGCACTTTGCCTCTGAAGGGAACTCTGAGTCTGTGTAGATGTTGTGTTGCTTAATGATGTTCAGAAAATGTCTGTTTTAAATCTGATGTCCTCTCAGATTAGACCAACCGCTTAAACGCAGCAGAACATGTCTCACAACTTTGTCACGTTTTTCTGAAAATAACTAAAATCAGACCTCATCATTAGTTAACTTTCTACTTGATAATCATGTATTACACATATTTTCCTAATTACCTCCGCCAAGGGCGAGGTAATGTTTTCGGTCGCGTATGTCTGTCGTTCTGTCTGTGGACAACATTACTCAAAAACTTGTGGACGGATTATCATGACATTTTTACCACATGTGGATACTGGCTCAAGTAACACAACTTTAAATTTTGGTGATGTTCCGGATGCGGATACAAGAWTTTTTTTCTCTTTTAGCACTCTGAGATCGGCAAAGCTGTGATGCTTTCACAGGGCGTGAGTTTCAAAGTGTCCAGCAGGTGGCACTGTAGTATTGGTGTGCCCCTTTTGTAACTCTATTACAGGATGGGGGGGAATTGGTCTTGGCGGAGGTTTGCACTCACGGAGTGTTTCTAGTTTGTTGTTGTTGTTGTATTTTTATCAATGCATTTTCAGTTGCTGTTTAGTTGGGTTCCTTTGTTACTGCACTGATGTTCCATTCAAAAAGTTTTGTTTTTATTTTTGCTCATGCTACCAGGTTTTACTTTGTTTCTTGCTTATTTAAACCTGTTGCTTATTAATGTTTTAAATCCCCATTCGATCGAGGCTGAGTTCTGTAAATGAGCCAGAACAAACTACTGTTAAAGAAGAACAGAGGTTTTCCTCATTTTCACATATCTTAAATCTGTGGCTTTACTGATGTTGAGTAAAACACATTTTTCTTCTTCTCATAAATGTAACTTTTTTTTACTCCCGTTTTCTCACCTCATTCCAGAGCTCACGTATTTATTTATTTTTGTCCCCTTTTTGTCTTTTTGTCCACCAGAGAAAACGAGAGGACTTCCACGTAGATGTGTCGGACGGCCGTCTTGTGTCTGTTCCTGCTCCTTCCTCCCAGCTGGACACCAGAGACAAGCTGTGGAGCCTCCACTCTGCCTTGCTGCAGTGCCGCACCTTTCTGGAACGAGGTATAGCCAAAGAAAATGAGGAGCTGGGTGGTGGGGAGAAGGGCAAGTACGAAAAACAGAGGGAGACGGTGAAGAACAGACTGTCGCTCCTCTTAATCAACACTGGAGAGCTGCTCAGAGCTGCGGACGGCGCCGCCATCTTGACTCCAAACTTTGATGGCTCAGAGGTAGGTATTCATGATAGCAGGTGGGTTTTTTTTTGTTGTTGTTTGTTGTTGTTTTTTTAAGTTGAAATCGCTAAATGCCATATTCACCTTCTCATTCACAGACAGAAAGTCCGTCCAGTCTGTTTGAACTGAAGCTGTGGATTTACCGGATCTACAAAGAGGTGGAGCACTGGACCAAGATCGCCGTTACCACCTTGAAGGAGCTGCCGTCCGACACTCCCAAGGAGCGACGGAGGATAACCTTAAGCACACGGAGCAAGAGGAGATGAGACTGAGACGTGAAGAGAGTGGGTGTTGGTGATGAAGAGGAACGTGAGAGCAACATGAGTTGGAGGGAACAACGGAGGTGATGAGCGTGCAGCATGGCCAAAGTGAAAAAYACACCGATGACTGCTGAAGCACAGAGAAGAGTTGAGGCTTTTTAAATTTCTGAATGCTCTTTAAAAAGAGAGCAAAAAAGTAAAACTCTAAAAATAACTTTATCATAAAGCAGTGAGTTTAATACATGTATTTATTTATTGTCAAAAGATATAACGTCAACAAGTATTCAGTTTTTAATTTCTTGTGGGGGGAAAGTGAAAAGAATGATTTTGTTTACTGTTTCCTCCTGTTAAAAGCTAACATATCTCTGATACATTTACAGTTCACTGCTGCTGTAATAAGTAGTTTAAAACTGCAGTTACATTATAATCCACAACATTTTGTAATGCAGAAAAGTGTTGCAGCACCCTCTAGTGGATACCATAATGTATAACATGGCGCTGTTTTATTTATTTATTATTTCTCGAGTTTCTGCATACTTTTTATTTTAAACTTTGTTTACTTACAGTTTCTTTAAATTTTGTGGCATTTAATTGCCTTCAGAATAATTGTTTAAGAGGAATGTGAAGAAAATYCAACGAACAAGAGGAGTCTGCATAAAAGTAATTTGTTTTAAAAGGTTTTAAAAGAATGAATTTTTAAACAACAAATTTATCTTAATCATAAAATTGTTCTGCATAATGGCATACTAGTATCAAATTCCACTTATAGATAATGTTTAAGTCCACTTTATTCATAAAATCATACCAACTAAGCTGCTGAAATGATCAACAGAGTAACAGGATATATTGAAACCTGAAAAATGGACAAAAATAGGAGCTGCTCTTATCAGCCTGTCTTATCAGAGCTGAAGTTCTAATTAAATTAGCCTTCACCAAAGACTATTTAAAAATGTATGAAGCTCTGGGGAAGTTGAAAAGTCTACATGTGAACGGGACTGAATCCAGTTCAGTGATGACCTGATGAGCATCAAGATCCTTAACGTGGACCAACACAGAGCAGACAGAGATGATGGGAGAGTTYGGTGAAAGCAACTAACACCTTGGGACCAGTTCTAGTAAAATGTTTTTTGGTAATTAAAGCTGAAACACTCAAACTGGACATTTGAGTGTTTCAGTAACATAAGGAGCAGCAGAGCATTTCAGAGTCTCGTTTGTATCCAGAAAGTAACTTGAAGACGTCTGAGTCACCATCGTGAATTTTAAACACAGGTTGCATTTTTGGGCCAACACTGAAATACTGCTTGTCTCGTGGTTCACTCATTAATTGAACTTCTTTTGTTTCCTGCTGTTTTTTATATAGATTCAAGATTTTTAAAATATATTTAACACTTTTGTCTTATTTATTAAACCATAAATGGTTTTCGATGTCACTGTGTTCTGTCTGTTGATTTGGGAGGGAAAGGAAGCACTTTGACACAAAGACTGAAATGTTAAAAAAATAACTTAGGATTGACAATCATTTGTTACTGAGGGACTTTTATTTTGACAGTTTTTGTGTAGAAGATTTGAACTGCCTTCCGTCAAGTGTATTTATATTAACGCAAATGTCATTTGCTTAATTTTTTTTAATGGTGTATACTGGCCTCCATATGCTTATTTTACCTTGCAGGTTTTTATTGAACTGTTAACAGTCAAAACAAGCCACCAAAACCAGATTTTTTTTTCCTGGACAACAAATTAAATTTGTTAATTTGAATGTGATTAGAACCAACAACTAACACAACAGTTTAAAATAAAGAACATTCCTGGAAGGAATTCATATTGCACTGTTTCAGGTCATCTGTTAGCACTCAGAGAGAGGGTTAGGAGTCAATCTTAGCTACTACCACAAACAATTAGCTCAGTATWTATAAAACGTATTGAGTTAGTCTTTTCATGTTTGCCATGCCAATAATCTTGAATCGGACTGACTTCAAAAGTTAAACAGTTGTAGATACTTCCTAAAAGTTGTATTAAAATCCACTAAGTAATTTAGACATTTTTACAGACATCACACATACGCTTGTCTTTCATGGCAGAACTAAAATATTGGTCTGCGAAGAAGCTGGGGCCTAAACTGAACCATGGTTCTGATTGTTCCAAAAGGTATTTTGGGTTGTTTCAGACTTCTGAACTACTGTATATACAGTTCATTATAGTGCACAAAATAAGAGAAGATTCGAGATTTCGAGTAAATAATCCTAGTTTACAAGATTTGAGCAAGTTTAGTAGATCAAAATATCTTACCAATAATAATGAGCTAGAATAAAAAAATAAATAACTTGAGCTRATGTACGCATCAAAAACCAAGACGTTCTGCTGCACTGGGAATAAAACCCAGTGAGATTAAATTGSTTTTAAAGCCAAAATGATCAATGGTTTGAGCAGCTCTTGTTTGCAACGTTYGGTTGTTCCAGAGATTAGGGGCCACAGCTGAAAACTGCTCTGTCACCTTTGTCAGTGAGCCGGGATCTGGGAGTGTCCAAAAGCTACTGAGTCCTCTGGCTGGAAGGTAACGCAAAGTTCAGACAAAGTTGTGCCAAGTTAAGACTTTGAAAAATGAGCAACAAATTTTTTAACTGAAATATAAAAATGGACAAGAAACCAGAAACTGCTGGTGTGTTCTGGTCACACCATTTTAGACGTAGTGAACTAAGCTTGACTACATGGCCTGAGTTGTGTTTTGTTTTGAAGGCTTTTCATAGTTTCTCTTTGGAATTTGGCCGCTTTATTTAGCCTACTCGTTTTCTGTTCGGTCCTCATCTCTGACCACAACAGATGAGGATAAACATGGAGGACTAACAAAAAAAGCTCTTAAGTCTAAAAAGCTATCTGCAGCTGAAGAACATTAGCATGTTTCTAAAAACAGGAAAATAACTGAGCAAAGACCCGAGAGAAATATCACCCTTGGGTTGATCTTACACTGAATGTCCAGTTTTCAGCTAATATCTCTGAGAATCGTTGTGCTTAGAGCTAAAATGCTTTTTGATGTGTATGATGTGTCAAACCAATTTTTTCTTTGTAACAGTTAATAACAGAGTAGCTAAAACCTCATTTAAAATCAGTTCTTTCAGGCTGTGTCGACACAACACCGATTCAAGTCAAGTCAAAGTTCAGAAACAAAATAATATTCCTCTGAAAGTGGTCAGGAGCTTGACTGAAGAACAAGTAGAAAAAGCAGCCAAAGTCCAATGAAAATAAAACTTAAATGATATTCAAAAAAGCTTGAATTGTATGTATATAAAAACATTTTTAAACAATTCCAAGGCTGGTTCTTTTGAAGCAAAATATAAGGAAATGAAGGATGACTCAGGACTTTTGCACAGTCCTGTAAGTATATGTTGAACTGTAGAGGACAGGATGTGCGTGTGAGCAGATGTGAGTGTGTGTGTGTGTGTGTGTGTGTGTGTGTGTGTGTGTGTGTGTGTGT